ATCACATGAGGACAAGTGTGGAATTTCCACATGTAGTGTCATGTACACACTCAAAATAGTCCATGTTTTGCAACTTTTCAAATTTCAGATTTAGAGGCATGGCTCAAATGTTAGCATGCCTGCTTAGCAAGGCAAAACTCTGAACTCAAACCCCAGTACCAACCAAAAAAAAAGTCAAATTTGGTGTGCTCAACCTGTATGTGGAATGACCTGACTTAAAATTCTGTGGATCCATTCAATATTGATAAACCGTCCCTCACCAATAAAATGGGAATAACAGCCCTTTGTAGGCTCATGGCAGAGCTTAAATAAGAACTGAGTAAAGCATCCAGAAATGAAAAAAGTATCCAGTGTCTATTGTTCCTGTCACTCATCCTTCTGTCACTAGCCACTAGTACAGGGCCTAACAACTGCAATTGTTCCATAAATATTTATTGAATTAATTAACTGTAGCTGTTATCATCACAGAAACATAACAAAGTTTTGGAGAAAACATTACTTTAAGTGGATTAGTTATGTATTTTTTTCTAAATCTGTAACATAACAGGAAACACAAAGCCAAATTCAGTCACTATGATGAAATACTAATGTGTGAACACAGACAAGAGACAGCATACATGGCAGGCATTATGGAGATTATTTTTCCTCTGATTTTATTTCCAGATTAGTTATCATCAGTCACCAGGAACGTAAGTAAACATCCAATGGCAGAATTTTAGCCCTAGGATAAAAACTCATTGTTTCTTAAGAGTCACCTTCTAAACTGATGAACAAACTACTTTATTCTACAGAATCCAGTGCTGTATTTAACATTTATGCATGATTTTTCCTGTCTACTTTTACTTAGTTTTTAGGTTTTTTTTCTTCTCCATGTTTTTCTCTAACCTGAACAACTTCAACTTGCCTTTTTAAAAAAAAATCTTATTCTATTTTTACAAACTGAGAGGGAAGCCTTTATTTCAGGTATTTTTTACTTGGGATTTTTCCTCACCAGATCTCTCTAGTACAAATCATTCAGTGAGAACCAAAGTGTCTGCCTTGGTTTGAAATACAAGGAGGTTCTACTGTGAAAGGCAATGAGGACCTGAGAGGCAGCTGTTACTGGAGGATTCTGCAAATCTCTGGTTTCAGTGTCCTCACCTGTAAAACAAAGATGTGCTACTTCCACTACCGATGCTCTTTTAAACAGTATTATTTGAAACACCATCAGCACCTATTCTTTTCTACTCAGTTGCTCATGTACACACTTTGTAACCACTTACCCAGGTTTTACTGCATGAGTGCTAACCTTACAGACCCATGCCAGAATCAATACTGCAAACAAAGCAGAGTATTAATCAATCTGGTAGTTTTGCAAGGGGCACACCTTATTGAGACCAATATATGAGAAACAACTCACCCTAGTTCATTACTGTAAAACGTTCCAAATAACCTGAGCAAAAAAGAATTACACTTTAGAGCCATGGTAGGCTAATCCCCAGAATTTGTACGTTAGTTACCCTACACTGGAAAAGGTACTTTGCAAATGTGATTACATTAGGGATCTTGATATTATAATGGATGGTCTGAGCACACCCAATCACATGAGTCCTTGTAAGAGGGAGGCAGAAGGGTCACACTGTGACAACAAAAGAAGAGGCTGAAATGATGTGGGGCCATGAGCCAAGGAATATGAAAACCACAAAATGTCAAGGAAAAGAATTTCCTTTGCAATCTTCCCAAGAAACAAGCCATTTCTCCCTACCTATTTTAGACTTCTGAACTCTGGAACCAAAAGATAATAAATTCATGTTTTTTTAAGCCACAGTTTATGATGATTTATTACAAGAGTAACTGTCATAACTCAGTGCCATCAACAGCTCTTGCTCTAAAAACAGCTGTGGATAGGGTGTCTATGTAAGTTTGAACTAAGAACATGAATGTGTTCATGAAAAGGGCAAAGCAAGATATGAAGCTGCCTCAGGGTTCATAGTCTGAAGATATTATCAAGAGCTCATCAGGCAAAAAAAGCAGAGTTGGGGGGAAAGATGTCAGGAATACCCCAACAAGGTCAGTTCACTATAGCTAATGAATATTCGGTTAAGAAGGTATGGGCCTTAGCAATACTCTTTACTACTTTTACTGGAATTAGGGGACCTGAAATTTGCTGGAGACACATTTCATTTCATTTATGTTATTTCCTTTTTGCTTTACTTCAGCTTTCCTTTCAGTCTTTAGTTCTTTTTCAAAAGTCCCAAACTATTACCAAGTAGCTCTTATACAGTAAGGGTAAGTAAACAAGTTATAAAGTGCTTCTGGAAAGTAAAGTAACTGTATCTCTGACGGTCAGCTAAGGTTTTAGCACATTAAAGAAGAATGGATTGGAAAGGAGAGAAAAATGTTAAAAGGTTAGCATAAGGAAAACTGCCAAAATTCTGACCAGAATAATTGAACAAGTTTGTTATCTTTAAACTGGGGATAATAATTAATTGCTTAAGATTTATACGATGAAATGAGACATTTGCAAGAGCTTAGCAAACAGAAAACCCAGACTTCAAAATGTGTGCCTGTAGATGACTGACTGTTCAAGTGCCCAAAGACTCCGGTGTGTAAGGATGCCTCAATGGGAAAGTTTAAACTGCCTTGCTTGATCTGTCACCAGGTCTAGATCTTCAAGAACTACTTCACTTTTATTTCCGACAATTCTATCTACAAACCACTCAGATCCACCGAAACTGATGACAGCATAAGGATCAAACTCCCTAAAATCAAAATCAAAGGCCCAATACTTAAGTGTCACAATGGATAACTCATTGCCTCAATTTCTTCACCTGAAAATGGGTATAAGATTAATGTAAAGTCAAAAGAAGTGCTCAACAATTGAGACAGTATTAATTACAGTCCCCAAATTCACCTCTTCCATAAAGCCTCCCTCCATCCCCAGCATTTTCTGATGGCATGGTATGATGACAAGAATTCTCCCTCTTCCAAATTCTTACAAGACTTACCGCATTCAACTTCACATTGTCTATAGCAACACTGGTCAGACTGAATGGAAATTATTTACTTCTCTGTCTTCCTCAGCAGACTAAAAATACTAATTTTGTAATCCCACCACCTAATATAGTGCCTAGCAAAATCATTCCACATATATGGTATAACCTTGGGCATTTGAGATATATAGATCTCATATATATATATATAGCTGCAATCTGGATAGAAATCTCTTTTATACACTAAAGTTACACAAGCCAGGAAAAAAATAAATATCTGCTGATTCAATAGTAAAATGCTGTGCTAATATATGATACTTTCATAAGCTGTTTATTCTATGACTCAAATTAAGCACTTTCAAATAACCAAATGTATGAAAAGGTAGGCTGAAATGTTAAAAATACTAAAAGAAAGTATACTGGGCAATTTTTTCTAAAAATCGAAATGGTAATGTAAAACAAAAAATAGGGACTATGTAATAACTCTTATCTTTAAAGAATTGTCTTACTATTCATAATATTAAATGATTTTTAAAGACCTGTGTTTAATTTTTTAGGTAATTACATTTATGCCAGAGACCCATTTGGGAATTTTTCACTTTAGAAGAATGGAAATTCTGTTGAAGCAGAATTTCAACACTATACAAAAGTCATTTGATGGTTACATAGCTTTTATTAGAATAGAACTGATTTTCAACTTTAGCCATTTGGCAATGTCTTTTTCATACATCTCTAATTCTCCCAAATCGCCATTTGAGAAAGTTAATACTCGGTTTACTTTTTCAGATTTTGCCCTGGACATGCTGTGAATGGAGCACTGAGATTTACTAGTGGAGTCAGTCCCTCTTTAGATCACAGGCTGGGGGATGGGAGGTGTTTAGAGGTACCCATGGTACCCCGGGTCTCTGGGTGCATTCTCCGAAGAAAGTCTGGTTGATGTATCTAACCTGAACAAACCTGCTCTTGCCCAAACTTCCTATCTTCAAAATATATCCTAACAAAGGGGGGGGGGGGGTGGCAAAGGACAGGCGAGTCTGGGAAGGTGGCAGGGATAAGGATTTCTAATGTCCATTGTCCTGTAAGGAACAACAGATGTTGTGGAAAGAACATGCACTTTTACACTCAGAAGCCTTAGATGGAAGCCTAATTCACTAACTGAGCACAAAATACGATGGCAGAATTTGTCTTCTCACTTCTTAACTTAGGCCTAAAAGTGATTTCAGTGAAGTTGTGTGCCGGTGAAGTCATCTAATGAATAAACTACCCAGTATGAGCCCTGGTACAAAGTATCTGCTCAGTAAACGACGGCTCTCATTTCCCTGGGAGCTTCACCAGGTCATAGTTCCAAATTTCCTATTTGCTGCAAGGCAACCACAGCACAAGTTGCGGTGTTGTGAGTTTGCAACTTTAAACCCAAAGATTTAGAATGTCCCAGTACTTTTTCTTCCTAGACCTCTGATTTCAACATCCAGTATTTCATGGCCGTTCTCCTACGGACAGTGCGGTGTTTGTCATCCCTGAAATTTCTGAAAGAAAAACTCCAAAGTCAGAGAAAAAGGTGAGAGATTCAGACCCTGAAGGAGACGCTTCCCAGAAGCCACAGTGGAAGTTAGTCCTGATTGAGGTCCCAGGCCTGCATCGCAACCCCCTCCCCCATTCCCACAAGGAAGTGGGGAGTTCCGACCTCAGATTCATGTTGAAGGAGGAAGAGCGCAGAGGCTGCAGAGCGGCGCGCGTGCGTGCGTGGGGACACCACCACGCGCGCCCTAGCCAACGCAAGGACGCAGCCCACGCGGGGGCGAGCAAGAGGGAGGCTCAATGGGGCTCGCTTCCTGCAGGACAAGGAAAGACATCTTGCCGCGGGCTGGGAGGCCGGCGGCGGAGCGCGCCCGCGACACCTACGTGGCGCTGCTCTCACTTGGGAGACGCGGCTCCGGCCTTCCCGCCGGCCCGGCCCGTGCGAGGAGCCCCAGCCCGGTGGCTGCGCGCAGAGGAGCTGGGGCGCGCAGGCCGCCACAGGTCACCCACCTTTCGCACTCTGCGGGCGGTGTAGAGCCCCATCCCGTCCTGAACCCGGGAGGACTTCAAGGAGAACCTGTCCGGCACGTACATGCCCAGCATGTTCCGGTCGCCTCACTCAGTCCCGGCGCTTTGCGCCGGAGAAGAGACACATCGAAAATTGGGGTGCTGGGGTGGAGGGGAGAGGCCAGCGGGAAAAGAGGAAATGGACTTTTCCTCCCAGAATCCCCACCTCCCCGGAGATTCCAGGATTCCCCGCGGCTCAGCCCCTCCTCGGCCCTGGTCTGGCTCTGCCCGGAGCCTCCGCTGCCATTGCTGCCGCGGGGGCGCGGGGGGCGCGGGCCGGGCGCTGCGGCCGCACGCCGCTCGCTGATTGGCCCGAAGTTGGCGGAGCAGAGCGGAGCGGGCTGATCCCGAGCCGCGCAGCCGGAGGCGGCCGCTCCGCACCGGGCTGCGTGCGTTCCCGCCCGGGTCGGGCCCAGGCTTTCCCAACCTCGGCCCCCTGAGGGTGTTTGTCGCTCTCTCGCTGTCTGTGGGAGGTCGGCTTCTCTTTTCATGCAAATCGACGCGGCCTGACACTGCTGGGCACATCCTCCAAAACAACTGGAACCGAGCTAAACGCTGCCTGACAGCGGCAGAAGGATCCTGAAGGTCTTGGAAGTTGCGCGCCTCCCACGACGAAGTGCTACTGCTTCGGGTCTCTCGTGCTTGTTTGAGAGGTTGGAACTCAAAAGAGACGAAAAATTTATTAACATACAGAGAAGCGAGGTGCACGCAGCCTACAACTCATCAGTTTCAAGTTGAAAATTGTTCATAAGCAATTTAATACTTAAAGCCCCAGAATCTAGTGACCTCTGGAAAGTTCTTACGCTTCCCAAGACACACAAAGTCCTCCCTGTTTTAAAATCACCGGACTTGCGGACTTTCACACGTACCACTGTGGACATGGGGGAGCTAGAAGGGGAAATAAAGTTTGTAGATTGGGCGTTGAGCTCAGAAGGTGCTGTAAGAGCGCGTTTCATCCTTCAAGAGGAGCCCAGAGCTTTCTACTCGTTTCTCTAATAGTTTCTGTTCCAAGGTCTTTTCCTTGGAAATAATTAGATGTGCCCAGTTGATGTTTTACTAACCATTGGAAACACAATTTTGACAAAATTAAAGACCACATACACCATGCTTCAAAATTTAAGAAAGCCTTGGAACCAACAGTTCCAGATAGATTTTTAAGATAGAAAACGGTTAAATAAATAGGGAGTAAGGGATGGAAGCATGTAAGAGCAGCATTTGAAGATTGCAAAGAATAGAATAAATGAATAAATAATTCTTAGAAGTTTAAGAGTAGCTTTGTCAGGGAAGGAAGGAAAAATGTCTTAATGACTGGACTTTTGATTGCTTTGACTTGCGATAGGTTATATCTAACTTCTATGGAGAAATGAATCAATAAATAAAACACAAAGTTTGGGGGGAATTTGAAGTGAGATAGCCTTGAAACATAGTAGTTGTTAAGTAAATAGTTCTTCAATGAAAATTCTGAGGCTGATTTTCAAACTAGTCTGTGATGAGTATACTCTGCTCTATGTTGTGCCTCACAAGAATTTGCACTAGTTAGGTTTTCCAGGGGTACTTTGAAACTAAGCCAGACCAGATCCATTGGGCCCAGCTGGAACTAGACCACAAGCTAAATGGTGGGGTCAGGCATTTTCCCCCAGAGAATTCAAAACATTGTCAGACATAGCCTTTCAAGGCCGTATTGGGTTCTCAGTGAAGTGTCACGACTCTGGGCACAAAAGTTTCCCCAGCCTTTGATCACTAGAGACAAAAAGGAAATTTTCGTTTTTTGCTTTGGCATACAAAATTTCTCTTTTAGTTGTGGACTGTGCTTCTCAGAACAAGATTGCCAGCTTGAGAATTCTCATCTCTGCATGTAGGCATTTTTACTAATTAGGAAACAGTAAAAATAAGTTTTAAAAGTAAACCTGAAACCAATAATCTTTTCGAATCTTTTATAAATCTTGGTTAAATTGTCTTACAATTGACACAAGCACTCAGTATATTTCATTTAAGCATGCAATGTTTTTATCTAGGTTAAGCGGAATGTTCTGAAGATCAACTAAATAAATCATGCGAGCCAACAATAAAAGGCTCTTCATAATAAGTTCCATTACAATACATAAAAAAAGGTTATGTATTTGCCAAATCAAAATGCACAATACTGACCGGAAATTTGATTTTGAAGTCTTTGAAAGATGGGAAATTAAAGTCTGCTTTATATCAAACGTGTAGATCCAGTCTTAAAAAGTAAATAAGGAAATTGAAAAGTTGATATTTAAAGTACTACCTGATTTACTTATTCTAAAAATACTGCACTGTCTTGACACAAGAGAGAAATGTTTCCAAACACATTTCTCCTGACTTTCAAATTTGCTTTCAGAGGATTTTTTCTTTTTAGTAGATTTGCCTAAATTGCTAGAGCTTGCTTTAGTTATTAAATTCAAACTTGTGTACTTATTCATACCATACAATTCTTTTGACTGTGTCTGTTATTAATGACTATTTCCAAGTGCCATGGTATTCTAAAAGCCTAATCATAAAAAAAAAACAACAAACAAAAAACACTGAGATTTATTTATTTATTAGTTTTCTGAGAAGTATTTTTAATGAATGAATATAAAACCAACTTTCCAGGGAAGAAAAGAATGAATGTTTGTTTGGTATTGTTGAGTCTGGAGACCTAAGGCAGATGAGTGATCCCCTCCTGGAGAGCACTATGTTTCCTGCATCCTGAGAAGGAGTTGTAAATCTGCATTTCTGCATCCTGAAGAAAAGATACTGGGTCTGATAGATCTGCCACAGGGCTAATAGGCAAAATGCTCTCAATAGTGTTTCCCCTCTCCAATAGGGGGCAAAGCAAATCAGTTTACCTAAGAAAGCCCACAAGTCCATGGCCAGTGAGAAAAACCCACCTAACCCAGAGTTAAAACATCCATAAAAGCCCCAGCCTTTACCCGAGCAGGGAGCTACCGGTTTCCGGGCTCCACTCCACTGCTCTGGCTGTAGCCTTTGCTTTCTCTCTAACAAATCCCACTTTGTATACCAGCTTTGGCTCATCAATCGCTGCCTCACAAGCCAGTTCTCTGGCCTGTGAAGGCAAGGACCCTTGATACCAGTGCAACACTTCAAACCAGCATGTAACTGTATGGCTGGAAAAAAGAAAGGAAGGAAGGGGAGAGAAGGGGAGGGAAAGAAAAGCCAGACACGATGGTACATGGCTGCAATCCCAACATTCAGGAGGCTGAGGCAGGAGGATCAGGAGTTCCAGGCCTGCCTGGAGGTCCTTTCAAAATACAAGCAAAAAGTCCAAAGTAGGGTTGTCAGATTCTCCCCTAAGCAATGATTCCACAATAGCAATAGCACTATGAAAGGATGATGTTGAAATCTGGACTGGTAGTGTAGCAGGGAGGGGGTGGCATAGCAGGGAGATAAAACTTAAAGAATCTAAATGTGAGGAAGGTCACTTAGCACTGGTGGGGTGAAGTAGCCAATAGACTTGCATGCAACCATATATGGGTTAAATCTTGTGTCTTGCTTCTGTAACCTGCTTGCAAGGAGTATATAAGATGAGATCTCTTTGTTCTTGGAGCTCAGACTTTGGACTTGAGTCCGTGCCGACACAATAAAACATTGCTTCCTGCTGTACTGCCTCAGAGTCCCATGTCTCTGTTCGAGATTCTGGCAACATTTTGGGGGCTCATGTCCGGTATTTGGAAGATGATGATTTTTCACCTTTCTTGTCACTGGGGTGCATCCCCTGGACACCGGGAGAAGTGATCCCACCAGGCACCAACGGACAGTTTGATCCGAGGAGGAACTTGGCCTCCTGGCAAGTTAGGGTGAGGGTCTTGGATGCACAACAGAACCCAGTGAGGCACAGGAACCAGCAAGGGGAGCATCACTCATCAAACTGGTAAGAACCCAGGTTCAAATATTAGGCTTGTGCCTAAGTGGCAGAAGAGGTACTTGATCACCTTCTGGGGTCATTCAAGTAACTTTGAGCAAAAGCAAAACCGTGACTCCTAGGTGCTGGGTGCAGGGCAGAAATATTGGATGCCTGTATGTGAACATATGTAAATGAGACATAGCTTGGCTACAAAGCGAGTGTGGAGTCATGATTGGTGGGTCAGTGGTGAACTCATATGGTCTAAGGTGAGCCCTAACAGGGCCTCTGGTGGGTGGTTTATACAGACTCATTTACAACTAAGAGACACATAAATCCCCACAAAGGGAGCAGCCAGAAATGGACGAAGTGAGTGGTGTTATTTGTTCTCACTTTTGTGTCAGAGAGAAGGACCCCTTACCTCCTCATGCCATCCATTTCTGTCTCTGTCTTAACATCTGGTAGCGGGAGGACTGGGAGGAGGTCAGAGTAAAAACACCCCCCCTAGGGTGCATGCTTAAGAACGTTTAAAAGGGATTTAATGGAGATTACAGAGTCAACCTGACTTCCAGCAAACTCAAGACTTTCTGTGACATAGACTGGCCTGTTGTTGGTGTGGGATGGCCCTCAGATGGGTTATTAGACAAAGCCATAGTCAACAGAGTTTTTGAAGAGGTTATATGGGAGCCTGAACATCCAGATCAGTTTTCCTGTATTGATTGCTGGCAGGATGCAGTCCTCAGTTAGCCCACGTGGCTAAGGCCCTGTCTAGAGGAAGCATGTAGCATCATGATAGCTAGGGTGGCTGCAGCCTCCAAGTGTAGGGAAAAACCTAAAAAGCTAGAAGGCACCCTAAGGGGGTGCCTATCCTGCTTGGCACCACTGTACCCACCTTTTCCACCATCTTCTGCCCCCTCACCTCCATCTTTGGAAGGGGAAGCAGCATCAGACAGGGATGCCCCAGAAGCAAATACACCTACAAGGCCAACTTCCTCAGGTCCCTTCAACCTCATCCTCACTCCGAGTCCGAAAGTCCTTATGCCGCAGCCCCCTGTGAGACTGGCCCTTACATTCAACCAGGAACATTTGAACAGCCCTAACATGGGCCTCACCTCCTCTTCAGGACCCATCACCTTGTAAATGTCCCTGAGGGAAACCCGAGGCCCAGTGTATTATGACCAGCATGGTCAGATACAAGGAGGAGGGCAGACATTCATCTACCAACCCTTTACCACCACAAACCTCCT